ATTGGAAAATTTATCATTATACAGGGAATGGATCACCCTATATTTGAATTTTATTTTCGATTCCTTGTAAAATTCTGAGCATAATTTATATACAAACCATATACCTAAATTCAACCGTTTCTGAAATATTCGCATTCGGAATGTCATAATTAAATGTTTTTTTAAACTGTTAAAAATCAAGAAGCCTCAGTATACCAAAATTTTTATTAAAAATAAATTACTATAGTGACATTATGTCAATAAGTGTTGTTAAATAAGTAAAAATGGCGTACTCAGACAGAGAAAGACCAACTATTTCAACTTATTATCTTAAAAATAATTTAAATATTTCAGAAACGGTTGAATTTAGGTATATGGTATGATATATGAAATATGCTTAGAATTTTACAAGGAATCGAAAAATAAATTCATATATAGGGTGATCCATTGAAAAAAAATTAACTTTTTGTTTTTCCCTGTATACTGATCAATTTTCCAATTTTCTTTATACGTAGAAAAAAAGTATTTTTTAGTTCCTACATAACCACACTTTTAATTTTTTTGGGACACTTAAAATAAAAAAGTTAAAGGGGGGCGACATTATATGGGATCACCCTGTACACCAAAGATCCATGCCCTCATTTATCATGTTCCTCAATTTATTGGTTTCTTTTCAGAGCAAGCATCGGAGCAAGTTCATCATTCATTCAATATATTTTCCAGTAATTTTAATTTATCCAGAAATAACTTAGAAAAATATAATATGAACTTGCTTCGATGTCATTGTGCATACAATAGTCAACATCTATAGGCTTAGATTTATTTTGTTGTTTTTTACATTTTTGTTAAAGTTTATAAATTTTTCCGTTTATAATTTTGAATAATGCATTCAGAAGAATAAAGTTTGAGTTTCCTACTATCGTATGAGTCTTTCAAATTAAAAATATTCTACAAATATTAACTTTGAGACAGTTAAAATATTATCAATATACAATACTATACATAAATTACGAAGAATTGAACGCTATTTCCCAAGATCTACATGGAAGATTTTCATTTTACTTTTTTTTTGAATACTTAGTTGGTAAGTATTTTTTTTTAAAATGTTTCAAAGTTGTTCTATTTTTTTTTTCGATAAAAACGGTGTTCGGGGAACCGTGTAGATGTAAACAAAAGGCGGATAACGGCAGAGAAAATTTCCGCAAGTGGAGCTTGGGTAAATCTGACAGAAGTCAAATTTTGTCATTGGTCCAATGTAGAAAATAATGAATTTTTACTTCTCAGGCTGTAAAAAACCTAACCCGATTGGTCTAAAACATTTTTAAATGCCTAGGCTATTGAATATAAAAAATAATATAAAGATAAGGATTATTAAAAATATTGATTTTCTAACATAATAAGAAATCTAAATTAATAAAAATAACTTGACCCTATTTTAAAATTTAATTTTTAACTTTATAAATAAATATGTATATAAAATGGCGAATGCGCCGGGATTCACTTAACTAATTTAAAATTATATGAATAATAAATAGTTCTGTGCATTAGAGGTAAACTGTAAAAAGTCAAATAGGATTAAAAATGAGATATTTATATATATATATATTCATATTAATATTTAAAAACTAATGTTAGAATGTCATGATGATTAGTTATTAAATGTAAGAACTACAAATTATTATTATTATTTTTTAGATTCTCCTGAACAATTTACAATATGACTTTTAAACATTTGAACTTAATGCGGCCGCTTTAGCACGATCATTTTTTTGATATCTTCTTGAATGTCCATCATGTTTTTTAACGAATTTTACAAATAAACAACCGTTACCAATAGCTATCAAAGCCCAGTTTTCTTGATAAAAGAATTGGTTTTACTAGCTTGACGTTTTTTAAATTTGACCATGACATTCAAATTGACAATGTCATATACTAACAAATTTACGGTTGTAGTACAGTCATCTTAGTCAAAAAAAGGGATCAACCTCGGAATCTAACGGAATAAGCTGAATTTTTGTGAAAACCTTTATTTTAGCATTACAAATGTTGTCTCAAAAGTCACATATACCAACGTGTGAGCGACCTTAGATATTCAAGGTCAAAGGTCGCAAAAATCAGTTTTTTGATAATATCTCGTTTTATATGCCTTCTATCGTATTTGCATTTATTATAAAAGTTGTAGAAAATGAAATTCTCTACAAATTTTGTTTAAAAATTTTTTTTATACGTCGAACCGTTTTTGAGATAGAGGGCGCAGAGTGTGGAGCGCTCAGCCATACGTACCTTTAGCGCAAGGTAAATCGGGAATCCCAATCTATTATACCGTTTTTTTAATTAATTATATAATAAATATTACTAAAATAAAAATTTAATACCTTATACTTATATTTATATTTCTTTTAAATCAAATATATTTTATCTTCATATATATCTTATATTTTAATTTAATTTTAATGAAGGATAATTGGATCGGAGTAGGAATAAATGTTTTTATTTATATCAATATTATTATTATTATTATTATTATTATTATTTATCTTTATCTTCTTCATCCTCGTCTTCTTCAGGTTGGCCAGCAATTTCAGACTCATTATCATCATCATGATGATGATGATGAGTGCACTCTCCTCGTTATCATTGACATTAATTGTCATATCTTCAAAAACTTACTTATAACGCGTTTGTACTTTGCTGATTTTTTTGCCTTTGTTGCCTCATCTGCGAATTCACCACAAAATAAGCACAATATTTTAAAATCAAACACATCATTCCCTTTTTTACGAGGTACAGTTGATGACGTTGAAGGTCCAGTCTCTTCAAGGCGACGTTTTGCTGCTGCAATTTTACTATAGTACGCTATAGCGTACAATTTTCGACACTTAATATGAACGTTCACAGAAGTCAAAGTATTTAGGTAGTTTATGTTTATTTCTCTCAATAATTGCTTCTTTTAAAGTCTTTATACCGCGCACAAAAGTCACAGAATCACCTTCAGAAAGTAACTTATTACAAATAAAACACAAATCAGCCATGTTAACCTTTAAAGTATTACGAATATTACCTGTCACAACCCTAGACCTAGGTATACCTAGGGTCACACCTTGGTTTATATATAAGTATACCTAACCTTTTTATTTATAGCAAGCCCACTATAGTATTTCCAGGTCTGTTATTTTAAAAGCAATATCTGGATCCAAGAGATGACCAGAGACATATTCAAGGCAAATTCATTTAATGTATTTTCTTCTTAAAATGCATTTATTATTAATTAGAATATTATTAGAATATATTTAGAATGATTCAATTCATTATTTAATTATTTGTATGTCAAAAGTAAGTAATATTTAATGACTATTTGTTTTAAAAAAATATATAAAAATAAATATAAGGTAATAAACTGTTATTTAAGTAATATTTAATAAATAATTAATTAAAAAAACGGTATAATAGATTGGGATTTATGATTTACCTTGGGCTAAAGGTACGTATGGCTGAGCGCTCCACACTCTGCGCCCTCTATCTCAAAAACTATTAGACGTATAAAAAAATTTAGTAAACAAAATTTGTAGAGAATTTTATTCTCTACAACTTGTATAATAAATGTAAATATGATAGGTGGCAGATAAAAGGAGATATTCTCAAAAAATTGATTTTTGCGACCTTTGACCTTGAATATCTAAGGCCGCTCACACGTTGGCATATGTGACTTTTGAGACAACATTTGCAATGCTAAAATAAAGGTTTGTACAAAAATTCAGCTTATTCCGTTAGATTCCGAGGTGAAATGCCTAGATGACTGGACTATTGTTTTTTTAGGTATTATGAAAAGTATATAAAGACATAAGGCCGATATGTCGTTATATACTATAACCGGTGAGCTAAATTTTACTTTGTAGACGGGCTAAAGTTTGCTTTAACTTAAAATTGGAAAAAAGTTGTGTTATGTCAGATAAAATATTAAACAAAATTGGCTTTAAATTCCTTGCGGTACTTAGGGCCACTATATTCACCTCCTTTAAATTTACTAGACAGATAACTGTCAAAGTTACAATTGTTAATAAGCTTTGGGTAAATTTAGTGAAATTTGAATATACTGGCCCTTAGTTAAATAAAATATTGTGTGCAAATATTGTTCAAATGCCCATAATATACAGTATATTATATACTATTAATCAATGTTATAAACCAAAATATTATGTTGCAAAAATGGCGAATGCGCCGGGACCAATACAAATTTATACCAGTTATACCAGAATCTATTGGATGCTTTTAGCAGGAGCGGATGTAGAAAGGTATTTTTTATAAAATATTGTAATTTGCCTACTATAATGTTGTCAACAACAATATGATACTATATAATTATAATTAATATCAAAAACCTACATTCATTTTAATATTTTCTGTATAATTTTTTTTTCAAAATTATAAAAAATTTAAGAAAATAATTAGATGAAAACGAAAAAAAGGAAGTATTTAAAAAAATGATAACGGAAAAATCGCCAGGATCAATTTAATTAATATAAAAATTAAGGACGACCCATAAGTGGTCAAAATCGCTATGGACATTATTTAATAAATAATAACGTTCTTTGTAAAGGGATAAAATTGCGAATTTAAATTTAAATAGGAAATTAGGAAATCATTACAATTCAACAACACTACGACGTAGTGTGACTTTACCTTAATGGTATTGTTGACAGATCAGTATTTTGGATTTTAGGTTAAGTTTTTTTGTTTTTCTTGGGTTTTTTGGCACATTTTGTGTATATTTGGAATTCAATTTTAGGGCCAAATAATCCAAGAAACACAAAAAACTTAACCTAAAATATATATTATGTCACAAAACTTAACATAATTTATGTGTATGTTAAACATACCTAGCTTGTTAATTTTGTAATTTATAGTTTACAATTGTTAACGTAACCAATAAAATTCCACGCTAGTGTGGGACAAAAACTATAGTTAACTAAGAGATCCTAGGGTGGGACAAAAAGTATGGTTAACTAAGAGATCCTTCTTACTTTTTTGTTGACAGATCGAATAAAATCGGCAGCGGTAAACGCAGGGGGCGGCGGCGTGTTAGTCTGGGGTTGATGTGGCTGATTGGTGTTGGCATTCGAAGTCGAAGTGGTGGCACTACTGTGTCCACCGTGTGGAGAAGGCAGCTGAGAAGTGGAAGCGATGTCGCCTACTGCGACCCAGGTCGAACATGATCGCGATGTCTGATCTAATCTAGCGTTTTCCAGAATAAAACCCGACCTAAAAACAAAACAAACAAAAAAATTTGGGAAAATTCGATGTTTTTCAAGGCAATTATTTAGATGGAGAATACGACATGAAAATGATTTAACATTATTTGTTATACTATTATACAAATAATTAAAAATCCTGACATCTGTACCCTAGAGCCAAACTCTATTAGGTCTGCTTTTTTAAATTTTACACATGTTTTGCCAACACATCGAAAAAAATAATGTAGTTGAGTTAACCCTGACAGCAAAATTTAATTTTAAGAATCTTCTTAGAAGATATGACCCGGAATAATGGTTCTAAGAATATATTCTTAGAACCCTCCCTTATTGCTAAGAATGTTCTTAGGGACTTTTAAAAAAATCAATAGATACCCTTTTAATGATGCAATTAGATTCTTAAAACCTTCCTAAAAAGCATCCTAAGAACATTTTAAGAATACGTTTTTGGAATGTTCTTAGAAGGTTTGTTATGGAGTTTCTAGGAAGCTTTTGAGAATATTTCCAAATATGTCAGATACCCATGTTCTAATATGTTGTATTCTATATTCGTAAAATTCTTCATATTAATATATATTTATTTAAAAATATTAAATAAACAATTTGACCTCTAAACCATAAGTTGTATGACATTATTTCATAAAAAGTAAAATTGGAAAATTTTGTGGGATAAGCCAGATTAGATTGAAGTTGAAGATAGTTAGGATTATTATACATAAAAATGTTAATTCAGAAATATAAAAATCGGTATACAAATTAATAAATATTTATTTTTAACATAATAAAGTAAAATTATTTTTGTTATCGAATATTGTTTTAATTTGACAAATAACTATAAAAAAATATTTTGGATTATGTTTTTTACAGGTCTAGGAAAATTTATCGTCAACAATTTACCGACAGCAATTTACCGCCAGCAATTTACCGCCAGAAACTTATAGCCGCACCAATTTATCGCCGCAACAGTTTACCGCCAGCTATTTATCGTAGAAACAATTTATCGACAGAAATTCACCGTTAGCAATTTGCCGCCAGGTATTTACCGCCTCAACAGTTTAACGCAGCAACAGTTTACCGCCAGCTAACCGGATTTGTTTTGTGCATTTTAAAGTTTTTAAAATGAATCATAGGCAAAATTTTAACGCTTCCTTGTTAGAAAACTCAACAACACAACCCTACCGACCCCGCCCCATTGGTCAAATGGTCAAAAATGAGAAAAAAAACCCAAACCAACCCAAACTCAACAACACAACCCAACCGACCCCGCCCCATTGAGCAAAAAACCCAACTAAAATGGGCAAAAATGAGAGGATTAGTTGGTTAGTTTACAAACTAACTGGCGGTAAACTGTTGCTGCGTTAAACTGTTGAGGCGGTAAATACCTGGCGGCAAATTGCTAACGGTGAATTTCTGTCAATAAATTGTTTCTACGATAAATAGCTGGCGGTAAATTGTTGCGGCGATAAATTTTCCGGATACGGTTTTTTACTAAATATTTAATACTAATTACTAATTAGGTTCTTAAGTATACGTAGTTTATGGTATATTTTACTATTATATAGATAACTGAACTAAACATGCTTACCAGGAATATTCATAAATGAACTTTCTATAGCAATTACATTCTTAATATTCTAAGTATATGTTTAGAGTAGACTAATTTTTACCACTAAAACTTTGCACCTTCTAAGAACCTGCCTATAGGCCAGTAAGAATATTCTTAGGATCATGCTATATGTCTTTTAAGCATGTTCTTTAGAAGAAATATAGTATGATTCTAAGAATATTCTCACTGGAAGGTTTAAAAAACATTTTTAGAATAAAGTTTGCTATCAGGGAACGCGTTTGCCTAAATGTCATTTTTGAAAATGTTGTTTCATCAAAGAACCTATTGGATTAATCCATAATCCACACAACAAGGTCTGTCGATCTCGTAGTAAAAATACTAAAAATCACTGCAACACACGTTGTGTTTCTTATAGAGAGACTTGCAAGCCTTAAAAGAGACCTCAAAGTGGTAAGAACAATAATTTTACTCCTCTTTTGTAAAAAATAAACCTTATTCTATCAAATGAAACAGCTTTCTGTCGGTATTTGAAGTAGGTGAACGCACTCAAAACAAAAACTCTGGCGAGGTGAAGGTTCAATTCTTTATATATAATAATATATTAATTCCAAATTTTGTTTTGGATACCAACTTTTAAAGAATTTTACTTTTACATTTTCAGAATGTTAAGCCAACCGTTTTGGAACATTATCGCAAATTATTTTAATTTAACATTTTATTGGTGTTAAGTGAATATGCTAAAAAGGTTACCTGGACATTTCAAGAAATTTACCTTAACACCCTAAGAATTTTAAATTAACCAAATTAGCAGATTAGAACAGATATTTTCATTTTGTTCATTTGACTCTTATTTGTTGTTGAATACAATTTGACATTTTTGGATGGTTAAGTAAACGTGCAAAAACCATTGCTAGTGTTTAAAGTGCATAAAGAGTTGAATTAATATTTTTGTTGTTGTTTCAACAGCTTATTTTTTTCAGTGCATATTTGGCTCTTTTAAATGGTGGCCCCCTATTATTAAAAATTCAAATTATTGGTATTATAACATACCATAACATAAACAAAGCGATATACTGACTATGATGTTAATTTGTTTAACTAAAGAATCAATTGTTTACCTTTGCAAGGAGTTAAGTGCTAAATCGGAAACGGCGTTTCTAAGTCCAGGAACAGTGGGGCCATCGTCTGGCGAAGGTAATTGACTAATATCGCTGGTACTGAAGCTTTTTTGAAGGCCAACTGCGGAAGATAAAGCTGCACAGCTACGTATCAATTCAGTCTCTTCTTCGAACCACAGGATTTCGGGAATATCAGCAGGTCTAAAAATATTATAATTTTGTAACATTTACGAATAAATAATTAAAATGCAAGCAAATACATATATTGTACAATTTTAAATTTGACATAAACACAGAAAGCATTTTTATAATTTAATTTTGAACCAAAAAAATTTTTTCTAATGCTGTTTAGTCCTGTATAAAAGATAAAACTTTTTTTATTTTAATGAAATAGGAAACATTGCATAATTCACTAGCAAATATCCAAGCCATATTGTTGTAGAAAATGTACAGCTCTATAAAAATGACAAAGTTTTAAAGAAAAAAAACATTTTAATAAAATAGGTCGCAGCAAAATAAATGAAATACTTGTCTTTTTTTAATGTCATAGCTCAAATAAATATATATATATACAGTAGGGTGAGCCAAAAAAACTAACCTATCGGATTTATGGGTTAAAATGAACCTACATACTGAGCAAAAAATTTCCCTGCAAGGCAAAATTTTTTGCTCAATTTTAAAAGGTGTCGGTGAGCATTCTAAGTTTTCCATTGAAATAACACGTAAAAAAATCTTTTTTCATTAAAAAGACTATAACTTTTGAACCGTTTGAGATAAAATTTTTTACGTCGCGGATTCTTGTAGAGCATAAAATTTTCTAAAGAATCTATACCAGGATTATTTTTTTTAATTCAAAAATTCGTATGTTTGAAAGCTTTGAAAAGTGTAAAAAATCACTTTGACAGCAGTTTTAGTGATTTTTTACACTTTTCAAAGCTTTCAAACATACGAATTTTTGAATTAAAAAAAATAATCCTGGTATAGATTCTTTGGGAAATTTTATGCTCTACAAGAATCCGCGACGTAAAAATTTTTATCTCAAACGGTTCAAAAGTTATAGTCTTTTTAATGAAAAAAGATTTTTTTACGTGTTATTTCAATGGAAAACTTATAATGCTCACCGACACCTTTTAAAATTGAGCAAAAAATTTTGCCTTGCAGGGAAATTTTTTGCTCAGTATGTAGGTTCATTTTAACCCATAAATCCGATAGGTTAGTTTTTTTGGCTCACCCTTATATACAGCAATTCCCAATGCATTATTGTAAAAAGTTTTCTGCTTTACAAAAAACTATTATCATGAAAGGCATCGAGTTGGTTATACCCCGTGTATTTCGCAAAAAATCTACAATCGAAAATATGTTTAAAAACAAAAACTTTTTTGGAATTATCATTTTTTAAATTTGAAAATTAGCCCTAAAAATGACATTTTTTAATATTGCTGAGAGCAATTTTGTTTAAACGAAGGCAGTAATAATAAAATCCACTCAGGAGTTTGTTTAGAACTAAAATGAGTATAAGAAAAAAAATATGAAATAAATTCCCGACCCTATCTTTGTCTATTTTTTTAAATACCCTACCCATCCAGCAAAATGTCCTCTAAAAGCCCTTTATAAGATATCTAAAATAATATATCTCATCTCAGACACCCAAATTCGACTGCATCCAGAAGATATCAGAAATATATACAACGTGTTTAAAGTTATATAGCTTCAATAATAACGGAGTTAGTTTGGTAGCATACTACCATACTAACTCCGTTATTATTGAAGCTACAAAGTCGATTAAATAAGCAAATATGTAGCATTTTTTCTTCCGATTTAAATGGTAAAAATAGAAAAGCAATTAAACGTTGGGTTTTTTCACAAAAATTACCTTTTTTAAATGGGACACCCTGTATATTTTTACATATTTTAAAAGACAATTTTATTTGAAACAACAAATTATTATAGCAACTACCTTAACTTAGTTTGTACACAGGCACTGACCAAGCCAGCCTAAAGTACTTATGAAACCTTACTAATAAATTACCTTTTAAAATTTGCCAGAGTGTTTTTATATTAAATTAAATTTATTAGTAAGGTTTTATAAGTAGCTCAGGCTGGCTTGGTCAGTGCCAGAGTACAATATTGCGCGCGCGGCACTGACCAAGCCCGCCTAAACTACTTATAAAACCTTACTAATAAGTTATATATAAAAAGTTAATAACTTATATAAAAACACTCAAATTTTAACATTTTAAAAGAATATTGCGGAATATTTCTTCCTGATAAAAAATTGTTAAAAACACTTAACCTACGATTTTTTGTTTTTCAAAAGTGGGCCATTTTGAGCCATTTTCATAAAAAATTGTTCGCGAAAATATCCAATCCAATAGTTTTATCTCCTACCTTAAGTCTTCTTGCGTGACAGCACCACTGTGTATAAATGCAAGTTTTGTTCTTTATATTATTTATTATTAAAATAAAATTGTTAAAAGCACCTTCCCCCCGATTTTTTCCCCAAAGTTTTTAAAAACTGGGCTAATTAGAGCAATTTCCATACTTTTTTTTCCGCGTTTTCGAAAAAGCCCGGTACGGAAATTTTACCAAATATTTATAATACGGCCCTAATTGACAGGCGTTTATGCCTTTAAGTTTAATACAGAGGTCGCCCTTCTTATATTCTTTTTCTATGCTGTATACTTTAGATAGGACCTTTTAACTTTAAGGATAGTATTGTGGGTACAAACTGAATATTTACAGTGTAGCGTTATTAATAGTTGGCCAGCCGACGCGTCGTAAGCAGCTACAGCTATATTTTAATTAAATATTTAGGATTCTTTGTATCCATTATGGTTAATATTGGCCATTTTACCAATTAAGTAAATAAAATTAATATTTTTTTTAAATTCATTTATATTTTCAACCCATTCTGATTAAAGACATTTTTAAGACATCTTGTAAGAAATCTATAGGACAGCCATCTGTAAAATATATGGAATTGGTTATCAGGTAGGTAGATATCTTATTTGAGATGTCTAATAAACATCTAAAAATATATCTTATAGTTGTCTTTCAGAAATGTCTAATAGACATCTAAAGAGGATATCTTTTAGTTATTGATGCTGTGCTGGGTATACATATAAATACATATCTACCCAATGCCTAATCTTTTCCAAAAATTTAAATAACAATCAATATTTACATTCGTAAATAATCATGACATCAGCTCTATTTATAATACAAATTTGGTTCTAGGAAAGCTATTTTTTTTAAATTGACTAATCAATATGCGTTTTTTGCAAATTAAGTTATTAATATTAATCAATTATTCAATCAAATTACCTTAGCGACAAGGTGGAAATAGATCTCAATTCCATTAAATATTCACTAATTTACTAAACTCAACTAATTAACTAAAGTCAGTTGCTGTGCGTTAATGTCATGCGAATTATCTATTAAGACTGTAATAATGTAGTCATAGAGTAATACTGTTAATTAGTAAAGACGTACGTGGCACGAATTTTAAGAAACTCATTCGGCCTTAAACGAACCTAACGTACTTGATTTGACCGATTCGCTGGCAAAATCATGAATGCGTGTAGACTAATATCATTCCATAGCATATTTAATCCAATTCACGCGAACCTAATTATTTAAAAATTCAATAAAGCCACACAAGCATTTAAAACACATTTAAGGGTGAAGTTTAATCATGGCTTTACTAATTACATATTGTTTTATAATTGTGATTTGTCAATAACGTGAAAATTGAGTGTTGAGTTATCTAAGATTTCAGCACCTGGTGAAATTTTCGATGAATTTCAATCGCAAATAACTTAATTTTTAACAGTTTTGTTTTTGGTTCACCTTGAATATTTATTTTTGTGGAAAATATGGATTTTTTTAAAAAAACATTGCAATTTCCAATATTTTCCTGTATGAAGAACTAAGGTTGCTATGGTCCATCCATTTTTTAATTCGACATTCAGTGCAATTTTTACATGTAAAATTATGCTGATAGTAAAATAATAGATACCGTTTTAAAAAACAAAAAAGAAAAAATTGAAATTTTAATGATGGTTGGGTATGGTGGCCGAAAAAGGACTCAGCAAGAAGTATGTGCCTTATTTAATGCCACGTATCCTCTCCAGGACCCTCTGACACAATCATGTGTAAGCAAAATTCTGAAAAAAAAAATGTTAAACCGGAAGTGTGAAAAATAGGACTAGAAGCACTCGACCAAAATCTGCCACTGCTGGAGATGTTGCCCTGAATGTGCTATTGCAAGTCCAGGAAGTACCTACAGTTTCTTGTCGGGGGTTGCCCGGGACAACGATATCAGTTATGCATCAATGTAAAGGTTATTTAAAAGAGAAAAAATGCATACCTATATGGTGCATTTATTGCAAGAATTAAGTGAGGACGATTTTGATCGTAGGGCTGAGTTTTGTGAAATTTTGATGGAACGTTGCAATCAGGATCCAAATTTTTCAAAAAAATTGAATGAGGCCACATTCATGCTGAACGGTTTTGTTAACCGTTATAACTGCATATATTCTACTGGTCACACAAAAACCTGCATTGGAAAGAAGAGACCCACGCACAGCACCCTCAAAAGATAAATGTATGGGCAGGAATAATTGACCAACACATAATAGGACCGCTTTTTATTTTATCTAACTCTAGAACAATATTTTAATCTCCTCCAGACAGATAATGTTCCAGCAGTAAGGGCATTGTACCCTGGGGAAAATAATGAAGTAGACGACACCATTTGGTTCCAGCAAGACGGTACTCTACCACATTTTGGTTTGGCAGTAACAGGCAAACAGGTGGATTGGTAGACGAGGGCCATAAAGTGGCATGCTAGGTCTCCAGACCTAACACCATTGCACTTTTTATGGGGTCATTTGAAGTCAGTGCTGTACAAAAATAGTCTGGCAATCTTCAGGTTCTCAGAGAAAGAATAGTTGAAGAAATTCATAATGTACATTATGAACTTCTTTCTGAACGTTCAAGACGTTTGGCTGCAAAATGTAAAACAAGAATTTAAAAATCGTTTAAGCCACTGTCTTGCCGTTAACGGCGAACATTTTGAAAACTTACTTTATGTAAAAATACTTTGGGTAATCATATTCTTGTTTTTATGCATTATTTTGAATAAAGGTTTTTTTGAATTCTAGGCCATTTTGCTCAAATATCCCTATAGATGTAACATA